TAAAAACTGACATAATTGTCACCTATCAAACACGTTTAATAAAGTTGATAATTGTCAGATTTTACCTGTCGCGTCCTAAGAAAATATTCTCGACTTATTTGTCATGGTCATTGACAATATTGTCGCGTTTTGTGACTTATTTGTCAACGCACAACACTAAAGAAAGTAAATGAGAGTAATATTAGTTTTGATTAAATTCTTTCGCATGGTTAATATTCCTACTTTAAAATTGATATGAAATTAACTATTTTGGGCTTGATTTACAACTAGTAACTAGTAAGACATTTTGTTCGGCAACTTTAGTGATAAGTAAAAGGGCGACGTATTCTTATTTGCTCCTAAAATTCATCTTCAATACTACTATTTTTTAAATTTAAGTTTTATTTGCAGCTTTTAAAACATGAGTGATTTAACCCATATGCCTATCTCAACCGCAAACCATCTTTGACATTGGGTATGGGTTCCTGTCGAAAATCTCCGACAATTCTACAAATATGTCGAATTGTCATTACAATTTAGTGTTAAATAAAACGAAATTGACAAGTTTTTCCGGACAAATTGTCACCTGTCGCCTGTCAAGACAAATTGTTTATTAAACAGAAATATGTCAAATTGTCACGACAATTCGACATATTTGTCAATTTTCCACCGTGACAAATTTGTCGACCAAATTCTTTATTAAACAAGAAATTGTCAAATTGTCGGATTGTCACCTGTCGCCTGTCACCTATCACCTATCACGTTTATTTAACTGGGGCCACGTACGTTCCTCGCCATGGCATCGTCGTCGTCAAGGTCGTCGTCATCCTTGTCATCGTTTGAATTTTGCGCCAACATCGTCTTGTGAACAGCGAAACGATCATGGTTTTTGAACGAAGCCTAATTTTGAACAAAGTGAAGTTAGCTGCAAATGTCATGACATTTCTGTGATACCAGCCCATGATTTTAATTTCCCTTTATATCCATAAAAAAATCTATTGTGGCACTGATTTCAAATATTCTCATCTCAATCAATGTTGGAGCTGAAAATTATCCATGCCAATGTCAATCAAATAATATTCAATATTATTAAAGAAAAAAGGAGCAGATAATCAACTCTAAAAACACTGAAAAACTTAACGCAGTAAATAAAAAAAACATTGAAGATGGTTTCGTGCTTTGGAGGGCAAGTTAAGCCATTGTTCCCGGTTATTGTCTATGATTTTTAAACGGTGCATTGGTCGTTTCGTTACACGACCATTTTTAGTGGCGTATTTAGAGATTTCGTTTCGTTTCAGCGCCCGCTGCCCGCTGACCAGTGATGTACTGGCGACAGGACTGTCCATGTAAGAGGCCTGCTGCTAGCACTCATAATAGGCAGTTGTAAAACATGTACACTTTTGTAAAAAATTGTGAAAATGTGCGTTTCTTTAAAATAGCCGTATAGTGCTGGTTCAGAATAGCATCATCCTATTTTCCTTTGTGGGTATCGTAAAAATTATAGTTTTATGCTAAAGGCTGACAATAGACTCAATTCTAGAGGCATATTTTAGATTTATATTCTTAATTTGACGTTTCTTTAACCATTTCCTATTCTAACACGTAACTGTCAAACTCAAATGACAGCATTATAATCTTTAAAATACTTAAAATTAAGTGACAGCGCTAAACTTAGTTTTAGCCGATTAGTGCTATTCCACGGTGCATAAATTTAAGCATTTTAAAAATTTCAAACTGCTAAGATCGCTAATCTTAGCGGCTACTAAAAAGGTCCCTCTTAAAAAAAGCACTGTCAAAACATCTTAAAATGGGTGGAATTTGGAGTGATCTGTGTAATTATTGGTCACATCAGAAAGTTCAAGAGTGGAAAAAAGGTGATCGGGAGGATTTAGAGTGTCACCGGGAAGGAAAGTTCAAGAGTGGCAACAGATTTAACCCCTGAAAACCCGGTGGCTCCCAAGAGAGCTATCGATTTTGAACCCTACTAGGTAATAGAGTGGCACCGGGTCAGAATGTTTTTACATTAGCACCTGGTGAGAATGTTCTAGAGTGGGGCCTGGTTGTTAGGTTCTTAAGTGGTGGAACAGAAGGATTTTGAGTGTCACCGAAAATAAAAATATTTTTACCAGTTACCTACAGATTTTTTCAATTAGTAATAAAAAAAAAATATTGCAACACTGAATTTAATAACGTCAAAATCAAATTATAGTCCTGTCAATTTTCTAAAACAGCGTTTGTTTAATTTTCTAAAACAGGGCTTTTGTGGAATAGACCTGCCTAAAACTCCTAAATTGACAGCTTTAAATTTAGCGATTATAGCTTTAGAAATCTAAAGCGTCTAAATTGTAGAATTGAGTCTAATGTGTCACTGTAGGGATACACAATACTTTTGAAACGTCCTTCAAATATTTGTCAGACGTGGCGATACGATAACCAACGTTTTTGGCGAACGTCGACGTTCTGCTACCCGTCAAGGATCAAGGGGGAGTGAGATGTTTTGTGTATGTATCTATCTATACAGGGTTATTTTTTAGTCAGTGCGCAAACTTTGCAGGATGTTTAAAGGCATGTGTGTGTGTGTGTGTGTGTGTGTGTGTGTATGCGTTTGTGTGCTATAAATCATACATACAGAAAACAAATATTTCCTCATTATAATTGTACGTAATATTTGTATCTGTCTGTAATATGAACATAATTAATTATAGTAGAGGTAATCACGAGCACGACACGAATACTGAACTTAACGTTGTGTCAATAGTATTTTACCCGGTATAAGACTAACTTTATTAAAATAGCAACACTGTAATTTAACTGTCAACAGCTTCGCAAGCGTTGCTTCCGTTGCCAACTTCAGTCCGCTTACTCATTCCAATAGATTTGGTTCGCATCGGGCGCTTGTTTTGTTTACTTTTTTTATTTTACACGTTATTTCGCCTTTTGTGTATTCTAATTAAAACAATTTGTGCTACACTAACTTTACTTTGTGTTGTGTGATACTGTGATATCGGTTTTCAGCTGAAAACCTCGTTTGGCAGTGTGGTCGTTTTGGTTGTATTTTTATTTTGTGATTTTGTGTCGTGTGTTCAGTTTTAACGCCTCATCTGCTGGATAACTTACTATAAGCATCTTCTGGACATCAAAGGTAAGCGATTTTATGGAATTTTGTAAAGGTTTCGGTACAAATTTTCAATAAAAACACTGTTACAAAATCGCAAGATGGTACTCTGAGTCGGTGTTGTTTTTACCATATTGGGCTCTTACTTGCGAAATTTTTTTGCTCTGGCGGGACGTTGGCCGCAATTCGTGGCTACTTTTATGAAATACTCGGTCTGTATAAGGTTTTTATGCTGCAATGTGGTGTGGTGTGCCCAACAAGTGGCAGTTTCTGGGTTTGCACATTTTCTTATTTACATAGGTAGAAGTAGATAGGTACCTAGTTGGACTGCTTATTATAAAATCACGAGCCTTGAACGATCTCCAGTCTACCTGGTTACGTAAATTGCCAGGTACATAGCAATAATAACTATCATGTTATGAGATTTTAACTGTAACCATAATAAAATAGGCTATTTAAGTTTACAGTGAGTAATTTCAGAAAAATTACATAAAACTTTATCACAATGTTTTTTTTCTGTAGGGCCAAAGTTCAGTTTTATTTGTTAGAGTAAACCTAGAAGGTTATAAACTATTTTACTTAATAAAAATAATTTGCCCTCAAAGTGCTCACTGACCAAATAATTGTTATTCAAAGAAATCTTTCTTAATTAAAAGAACTGTGGATAGACCCCACACTAGGTTTACAAAAACTTAGATGCACTGAGACACAGGTATCTTTAGAAAAAACATTCTATCCCTTTACAACGGAAGTATCAAAGATTTCCTGATTCAATTCAGTTGTACCAGCTTTATAAGAAGAAATATTTTAATAAATCCTCAATGAGCTGGTCTCCAGCAACCAGCATGATCGCATAAGCTCGAGTGTAAAGGACTTTGAGCATAATAGATAACAATTATCATTATTAGAAAATGGCACAGATTTCTCAGTTCTTATTCAGTGGCCTAAGATTTTCTTTTTTGGGCTCAGATCATTAAAAATGCTCATTCCTTTTATTCTCAAGCTCCACACAGACAAAAGGCTAACAATGTATTATGTTAATTTCTCAATTAACATGCCGGCCGTTTTGTCACTTTCGTTTGTGTTTAACTGCACATACAATGCTACACACAGTATGTGTTATTTTGAAAAAGAAAGGCAAGAAATAAGTTGTTGCAGTTGTGTGGAAGATTGTACAACAGGCAATGTCCTGAATATTTTAACATGATAATATTTTCCACAGAAAAGTTAGACACTTCTTCAATGCAAATAACCCATTAAAGAAAAAATGCAGGGTATGCTTGCAACATGCATACAAGTTTTCGTGGTCAGGCCCTTCAATCTGATTTTCAATATCCTGAATTCAGATTTCAGATCAATAACTTAAGATATACCATACATACCACTAGCCTAATTGCAAACAGTTAAATTAATCTAAGTCTTTTCTTTTACTTCGAATCGAATAATTATAAATTATAAATGGTTATTCATTGGTTAATCAAGTGATAATACCAACTTTCCTGACTTCCACAAATTATACGCTTGGATGAGTGTTTAATATTTAATGATAAAGGTATGTGCACATACATACCTATATATCACGCGTTTTTCCTTTGTGAGGTAGGCAGCATGTTACCAGCCCTAAAAATACAGTCAATTTCACCAAGCAATTTCATTATTGCCACATTTGACAAATATTTAAGGGCCATTGTAGATTTTTTTAAATTAGATGTTGTTATAAAAAGCCAAAAATGTAGCCAAAGAGATGAAAACCCGCTATAAATTGAGTTCCTAAATTTGGCTACATCCAATCTGTAAAGAATGGATTAGTTGCTGGGAATTAGTTGCAAAAACTATCCCAGTAAATGGAGCCCTACTACGCATAAGTTGTCAAGATACACTTGCAAAATTCGCAGGCTTAGAGTGAGCCGCTGAAGCTTAGATGGTAGAGACGTCGCCAGTATAGATGGTGAAGGTTGCTGGTTCAAATCCAGCTTGTGGTAAGAAATTAGCAAGTTTTCCAAAAATCAGAATAAAAGGACTTATAATTCAGTGCAAATATTTTCGATCTTTATAAATAGTTATTCAGAAAAGTTGTTCAGTCTTCCGAGTAGAACACACACACCCTGGAAATATTTGCAGTGAATTTATTAGGACCTTATATCCTGTGGTACTCTTGCCAGCACATCTGTAGGAAACTAATAATGGTTACTCATACAAATACTAAGAAAAACCTGTGTAAGTTGATCCCATGAATGGGTAGATAGATGTGCTAGCAACAGTACCAGTTAACCATTCAAAACTGAGACATGAAACTAACAGATGCTCTAATTTCTCACAAACTCTCAATTGCTTGTGATGGCACTTAAATTATGTTATATAGCACTCCAATGTCTGTTACTGCTATTAAACCTAATAGAAGATGCCTGTTAAACATCCTAGTTTATTACTATGAATTTAGGTACATTTAAGTTGATAGTTTATGAAGCTATCAATTCCTAACTAGCTTATAATATAAATGACTGTATCATTTTTTGAGGCTCAAGACGTATGTCAGATCAGAGGCCCCTACTTGCACATACAATCATCATCATCTGCCTGACCTTATTTGTGATTTCTTAAAATCTGTCGAGCTGAAAGTGGCACGGCCGTACCATCCTTTTCTCGAACCAGTTCAGGCCGTTTTTGACCCCCCCATAACTCCCTCGTCGATAAGTTTAGAACCCTCATTTTAAAATATCTTATCAAGAACTGCATAGACACGATACATTTAAAATTTCATTTAATTTGGACCAGTAGTTTAGAAGTTATAGTTAGTCAAGGTTTCTTAATTTTCTGCCTGACTGACTGACTGACTGACCGATCATCAAAATTCTAAGGTACTTCTAGCAGACTGAGGAGCTTGAAACTTAGAATACACCTTGTATTTAGTGTATGAATAAAGGGAAAACTATAACATTCTGCAAATTCGGTTGCAACCGCATAACTAACTTTGTATTTCCATACAAATGTATAGGATTACAAAGTTAACTTTGCGGATGGGCTTTGAGGAAATCTGTAGCTGAGGCTCAAGAAGTAGTTCCAGATAAGAGAAAGAGGAAGACTATCTACAAAAAGAAATGAGATCCCACCAAAAACATTTACTTGTAAAAAGAACCTGTAAGTCTCGCCTCTCAGTTCATCTACTCATGGTATAATAAGATACTCCGCCTGGTATTTCTTTCCGAGACTCGTGAACCACGTGACCAACACAAGACTACGTCATCATGCTTGTGGGTTACCAGAATTACCCACTCTTATGATGTTTTTTGTAAATCATTTATGATACTGTTAACTAATAAATACAATTGAAGTGTTGTTGTAAAGTTCAAGTTAATATACACACGTAAATCTAAATTATAAAATTATTAAGAAATATTTTAACCCATTGTTCTGAGATTGAATTTACCCCATAACGTATTTTATTGAAATAAAGTGGCAATACTAAGTGACGTTGTCTTGTGTTTCTCTGGGAAGGAAAGACCATGTTTTATTAGACTATGCATCTACTGTAAAAAGTTGTGAGATCCATGTGATGCCAAGTCGGTTATTGATTTATTCAAGGACTACTTCAGGGAACTTTCATCTTAAGCTATTGCGTAATTAGGTGATAGACATCATCTTACAGTAACTGTATCGATATTTAAAAACTTTTATATTTACAATAAATAGAATGACCCGGCCATCGCACTGGACCATCGTATCTCACAAGCAAATAGTGTGCGATTGCCAAGTCATTCTAGTTATTGTCAATATAAAAGTTTTTAAATATCGATATAGTTACTGTAAGATGATGTCTGTTACCTAATTACGCAATAGCTTAAGATGAAAGTTCCCTGAAGTAGTCCTTGAATAAATCAATAACCGACTTGGCATCACATGGATCTCACAACTTTTTACAGTAGATGAACTGAGAGGCGAGACTTGGTTCTTTTTACAAGTAAATGTTTTTGGTGGGATTAAATTTACGCGCACCCGCGCGGCCTTTTTCGTCGTGATATGTTTTTTTTACTAAGAACTGCTAAACCACATAAGAACTGCATCTAATCACAATCATTTCTCAATAAAGGCGCCAATGTAATGTTTATTTACATATTGCGTGAGCTGATGTCATCATCAGTCAGTTCTTAGTAGTCGATATAGTTTTGATGATCAATGATATTATATGTAGGTTTTTAATATAAATAGGTATGGCCGGCCGGATTAGGCAGGCAGCGCAAAGTTTGTTAACGACCCTACCGGAAATACCTATTCGTTTTATGTATTTAAGGCAACAAGTTGACAACCTGTCACTATAGTGCTACAGAATATTTCGGAAACAGCACGTCTAATTATATATCAGACATCGCGGTAACGACTGTATTTATACTGGCCGTATTTATACGGTCGTTGACGCTCTGCGTATCTGGTAAAGGATAGAGGCGTGAGGTATGTAATCATGTAGAATTGTAGACAAAATACCGTTCGGATTTCGCAAAACCTTAACGTAAGGCTATACATACACTGACCTAGTGGATCGGTTTGAAAATCCTTTGTCTTCAATGACGTAACTCTGTCGTGGGAGTCTTAAGATTGTATGAGTTACTGTTGTATGGTCGGCCGTACGAGCTTTTCGAAATTAATTATCCGCTGGAAAAGGCGGTCGGGTGTGACTCAGTGAAATGTATCTGTTGGCCCCATCTTTACTGGCGCGCTTTCGACTTGCGCCGTGTGATGTCGGCTTAGAATAGCATCACCCCAATTCTACCCGTGGGTGTCGTAAAAAGCGACTAAGGGATATTCATCCAGGGAATGGGCAGCAGCGTTCCCTGTAAATGTAACATCTTGGCACTGCGCTCGCCAATCCGCCTGCCAAGCGTGGTGAGTATGGCAATACCCCCCGATAGAGGGAGGCCCATGTCCAGCAGTGGACTGTTGTGGCTGTTATGGTTATGGTTATGGTTTCTACTTGCTTCGCGTTGTACGTACACTGCTTGCTAAATTGATATGTATGAGAGCTGGTGAGGAAAGGGATATAAATTCTGGCTGATGATCACAAACTTAGAAAACTGTATTTGTAACAAATAAAGTGTGGTGTATAGCGTACCTACATATAACAAGGGATCAGGTATGTCCTTTAACAACCCAATAAACATTTATCATCAACAGCTAAACCGTCCAGACATTCCTTTCCTCACCAGATTTTGGAACAATGTATGATAATATGTATACGATTAATGATTATGAGGTCATCAGCATCATAATAAGGACATCCACTGCTGAACATTGGCCTCCCCTAAATATTTCCACCTTGTCCGATAGAAGCGGCCTGCATCCAGCATTTCCCCGCGGACTTGGCCAGATCGTCTATCCATCTCGCGGGGGGCCGTCCTACGCTGCGCCTGCCGGTACGGTTCAGTCGCATAATGTACGATTCGCAAAATGTATACTCACTACAAAATGTCGCTTTCGCAAAATGTCGCTTTCGCATAATATCGCTTTCGTAAAATGTCGCTTTCGCATAATGTCGCCTTTTGATATGATAGGGCAATATCGTTCAGTTGATCATCACTATATTATTACTAGGTTTCTACCCCGCGATTTCACTCGCGCATTGATATTTTTGTGTGCTATGTGGATAACTGGTTGTATTTAGATTTATTAAATTTTATTCGTTACCTCCTGAGTCCTAGCGCCTGATTGCCATTTTCATGTGCATGCGCTGCACACTGATGATCTCTCCGGCCGATTTCGGCCATGGCGACAACTTCTACATTCGATCAAGTCGGCGGCGCTGATGCGTCCATATGTGGTTATTGTAGCCGATTTTGGCAGAAAATTCCCGTGCACAGTGTGGGCACGTGAGTTTGCCATTGATATAGTTGTAGTTAATGGCGACGGGAGGACGGGCCTTCAATTCATCACTCTTAGCGTCGAGGTCTGCTTTACGTTGCTCCTCAAAGTCGTAGATTCGATTCGCCTCTTGACAAGACCGCGCCATACTGGCCATTGTGCACCCAAAACCTCAAATTGAGAGGGTTCGATGTTGCATCTTTTCATGTGTCTCTTCTGAACATCTTTAAATCGGAAGAGTTGACCGCCATGCTTTCGCTTGCCCTCCTCTAGCTCAGTGTAAGATGCGTTTCGCCATCGCTATAGGGGGTGTTAGGGACGGTGTAACGAAAACTTTGCAGACGTGCTCAGATCATGAAACTGAACAACTTTTAGTATGGAGCCAATGGCGGGAAACGAAAAAAAAAATCCGACCTCCCATACAAAGTCAGTCAGCTGATCGTGAATTTTGTATGGGAGGTCGGAAATTATTTTTTCGTTTCCCACCATTGGCTCCATAGTAAAAGTTGTTCAGTTTGATGGTCTGATCATGCCTGCAAAGTTTTTGGTACACCGTCCCTAACACCCTGTATAGGGTGTAACAAAAACTTTGCAGGCGTACTCATAAAACTGAACAACTTTCCTTATGGCACAATATATTGGTAAACGAAAATTTTTTTTTGACTTACCATACAAAGTCAGTCAGCTGATCGTGAAATTTATATGGGACGTCGCATTACCTTTCGTTTACCGTAAGATGTTCTATAGGAAAAGTTGTTCGGTTTCATGGTCTGAGCACGCCTGCAAAGATTTCGTTACACCGCCTCTTACACCCTGTATAGCGAACGACTACCGCGTTTCAGGAGACTGTATGGATGTATGTGGAGCGCATGCACATAAAAATAGCAATCAGTTGCTAGGACTCAGGAGGATAAGAATAAAATCAAAAAAATCTAAATACGATTATCCACATAGCACACAAAAATATTAATGCGCGAGTGAAGCTGCGGGGAGGAAACCTAGTAATAATAATAAAGTGATGAACAACTGAACGATATTGCCCTATCATATTAAAAGACGACATTATGCGAAAGCGACATTTTGCGAAAGCGACATTATGCGAAAGCGACATTTTGCGAAAGCGTCATTGTGC